TGAAAAACTAGGCTTATACTCAAGTATATACAGTATAATTCCTAATATCAGGACAATTTTTACAAGCAGAGTTTATCTTGTGAGCTATTCCAAATCAAATTACTCAAAACGCCTCCCAGGCTTATATGTGGTACTGTGTCAGTATCCATTTTACTAAAAGTTGGCTTTTCCAGCAAGCCAGCCTGGCCTGAACAAAACAAAATAAATGATTGATCATTGTTAATTTTAATCGATTTTTTTTTACAAAAATGTTATTATTAATTCTAATTGGGTTTGTTTGGGATATTCTATTTAATTCTTTTTAAATTTTGTAATATGTGTTTTTTAATGTTGTACGCCGCCCTGAGTCCTTGGGAGAAGGGCGGCATATAAATCTAATAAACCAAACCAAACCAAACCAAACCAAACCAAACCAAACTTCATTCTGCCACTGATTCATTCCAAAACATCCATGTCAAGTAGGTTTTGGCACATGGCTGGATCATATATAATATCATATACAGTATGCTAACTGGGTCTGATTGCTTTCTATTTTAGCTCTAGATAAAATCCAATGGTTGGGCAAGAACAGTCTGAAGGAAGTAAAAAAAATAACATCAATTTAACAGTTGGTCTGTTTATTTCTTCTTCTTTAAATAGGCACAGGAAGAAAAGGGTTAGGAGAAAATTGTGGAATCTTTTGTTCCTTATTTTGAACCTACCAGTATGTAGTTAAAATATCAGAAACTGAAACTTTGGATGATGGATTATTCACAAGATCTTTTATGAGATGGCAAGCAATAAAACCAGCAAAGCAACCATACTTTCGATTTGCTTGAAAGATAAGCTTGTGTAATATTTAACTTTCATGTTAAATATTAGATATTTTTCTATTCATTAAATGAGATAATGAAAAACTTCCGTTCCTTTTTTGAGAAAGGGGTTGTCACATCATGATGGTTGTATGAAAGAGACAGGGCATGTATTGCAGGCCAAATGCTGTTTACATCACTTTGATTCTCTTGTCCACTGCCAACTCCCTAGCAATCATGACAGCAATATTATTTGGGGTACATGTATCTAAAGCTCTATTTAAAAACTGCTGTTAAAGCTCTTTTCAGAGGGCTCAAGGCCTGGATAATAAAAACCAGATGATATTTCTTTCATAAATTCTTAATCCCATCCATTTCCACCAGACATCTTACTATGTTTGTCCAGACACACTTTCACATGCCTAATTTGGCTTGGGTGATATTTTCAAAATGTGTGGTACATTTGAATTATATAGAGTTCAATGATGGCAGTTTTGAACTGGAGCCGTCGCTAAATAGCAGAGGCGGCAATAGAAATAACCGAAAAAGTAGCCGTCTTCTATTGGCCTAGACGATCCTCTTCATTTTTCCTCCCGCAGGCAGAATCACCTCATTGAAAATGGCTGGAGGAAAAGCTGGGAAGGACTCCGGAAAGACGAAAACCAAGACTGTTTCCCGATCACAGAGAGCAGGCTTACAGTTTCCTGTTGGTTGTATTCATTGGCACCTGAAATCGAGGACAACAAGTCATGGACATGTGGGGGCTACAGATGCTGTGTATAGTGCTGCAATCTTGGAATACCTTACAGCTGAGGTTCTTGAGCTGGCTGGGAATGCGTCTAAAGATTTGAAGGTAAAGCGGATTACTCCTTGTCATTTGAAGCTTGCAATAAGAGGTGATGAAGAACTGAATTCATTAATCAAAGCAACAATAGCTGGTGGAGGTGTAATTCCACATATTCATAAATCTCTCATTGGAAAGAAAGGTTCAACAAAAAACAATTTAAAGAATTACTTATTAGAACTTTCAAAAAGCTATGTTGTCCATTTTTAGTGGATTTCCAGTGGACTTCATCTGTGAAATACAATTTTGCCTTTCTTTAATCTTGAAGATGGAGCCCATCAAGCTTTCTAACCAAAATTCTGCACTGAAGTCTTAACCTTATTTCAGTGTTACATGGCTTCAGAGAAGCTATTGTTTGCAGTGGTTCTTGACTGTTTTAGATATGTTGGATTTTAATGGGATTCTTGACATTGTTGCTAATCTGTAATTTTTAATGCATTGAGTACATTTATTCAATTATATTATGAAAATTTAAAACAGATTTGGACATCAACATTGCTAATTAAATGAAATTATAAAAATTTGAATTCTAAAGAGTCCAATGACATTTATGTAAAAATTAAATAAACATAACCCAAAATAGATCCTTTACGCACTTCTTTAGTTACAGGAACTTTTCCTATTATTAGAAATCTACTGAAGATTGCACAAAATCAGAAAAAAGTTCCTTGTTATACTATTTAAATTTAATAAGTATCAAGAGCCTCAAAGTCATAAATGTTATCAATTTGCACTATAAATTGACTCATTTATAGAGTCAAAGGTTGCACTTAATTTAGTAACAGTTGGGAACAAATGTCAATTGTTAGAAACTGATTTCTTTATCTGGTAATGTAGAACCAATGATAGTTTATGGCCTTTCCTTTAAATCTGCCTGTTCTTTAGCTACAATTTCTATCCAATATTTGTGTTTCTGAAAAAAAGTGATTGGTAGGGATGGTTGGAATTCATGGATCTGATAATGGTTTCCAAATTGCTAAATTTAGCACAAACCTAATATCTGAATTATTCTTTTCACATCAATATCAATCAGGCTGTTAGTTCTATAACTCCTGGCATTACATCTATTAAATTTCTTAAGTATTGGAATCATATTTCTAAGTTTCTAACCTTTTTGTATATAACTTGTATACAGGTGAAACTTGAAAAATTAGGATATTGTGCAAAAGTTCATTTATTTCAGTAATGCAACTTAAAAGGTGAAACTAATATATGAGGTAGACTCAATACATGCAAAGCAAGATAGTTCAAGCCGTGATTTCTCATAATTGTGATGATTATGGCTTACAGCTCATAAAAACCCCAAATCCACCATCTCAGAAAATTAGAATATTACATGCAATCAATAAAACAAGGATTGTACATAGAACAAAATCNGATGGTTCTAGATGTTGTGTATTGCTCAGCATGAATTACTGTGAGTTTTGCAACTGTTAGTGACTTTTGTGTATTGAACTGTTTATATGATTCTGGACTGTGCGTGTTGGATCACCCCTTAACTGCGAACATTGATGACTGACTGTCTTAACCATGTATGAATTGGACTCTGCATACCTCTATTTCCACAGAAGTACAACACTATCTGTTTTACAATTCAGTGTCTCCGTATGCTGGTTTATGTTTTCTTCTACACCACTCTCACTACGCTTCTCTGCACGCATGCGTTCTCCTAATGGGGAGCTTACCTAACAGTGGCCCTGAAAATGGCAGAAGCCATGATACTGGGGTTGGCATGGTTGAAGAACTGGAGCCCGACAGTATGCTGGGGAAGAGACAGGGACCGCTTAGTGATAGGCCTGGGGACCCCAGAACTTACAGGGAGGAAACGCAACGAGTCCTGGCTGCAATTGAAAAGAGGGGGAAGGACCCAAGAGCATGAAAGTGGCTGCCGAGTCGACGCTGAGGGAGCCCACCATTCCGAAGGAGTATCAGGATCTCGCTGAAGTGTTTAGTGAGGAGTTTAGGTATTGAAAACTTACAGGGATGTAATTTTACCTAAGCCAAAAATGTACACAATGACCCCACAAGAGATGGGGAAGCTAAGAGATTTTGTAGACACGAACCTGGCCAGGGGATTCACCCAGCCAGTGAAGTTCCGAGTGGCGACACCCGTGCTGTTTAAGGAGAAAAAGGATGGGTCCTTGAGGTTGTGCATGGATTTCCATGGGATCAACGGGGTCTCCATAGAGAACATGCATTCACTCCCCCTCATGAAAGACATGCTGGGGTATCTGTCCAAAGGGAAGGTGTTCACCATGCTGGACCTGAGGGAGGCATACTATCATGTGAGGATTAAAGAGGGAGATGAGTGAAGGACTGCATTTAACTGCTCCTTGGGGTGCTACCAATTCAAAGTGATGCCTTTTGGACTACAGGGAGTTCCTGCCGTGTTCATGCAACTAATAAATGAGGTGCTGCATGAGCATTTGTACTAAGGGGTTCTGGTGTACTTAGATGACATCCTTATTTACTCTGAGATGATGAAAGAGCACGTGACACTGGTGCGCCAGGTGCTTAGGAAACTCCTGGATGCTAAGCTGTATGCCAAACGGTCAAAATGTGAGTTTCACAAAACCAGTTTGGACTACACAGGGTATCAAGTGTTGTGTGAAGGAGTAGAGATGGACCCGGAGAAGGTGAAAGCCATTTTAGGGTGGCAAGCTCCATAGACCCGAAATCAGCTGCAGAGTTTCCTAGGCTTTGCTAACTTCTATAGGCAATTCTAATTGCCTTGCCGCTCACGGAGTTGCTCAAGGGGGGGGGGGCGCAGAGTGAAGCCTAAGACCAGTCAGCCACTAAATTGGATGATGGAATGCCAGGCGGCTTTCAAGAACCTCAAGCGGCTCTTTGTGGACGAGCTGGTCCTAAAGCACCCGAAGCCAGAGGAGCCATTCATAATACAGGCGGATGCTAGCAATGTGGCAGTGGGGGCGGTCCTACTCCAAAAGAATGCTGAGAGGAAGTTGCAACCCTGCACCTACACAACTTGTTCCACGGATTAATTGTTCTAACTGTCAGGAAATTTCTCCTCAGTTCTAAGTTGCTCCTCTCCTTGATTAGTTTCAACCCATTGCTTCTTGCCTCAGGTGCTTTGGAGAACAGCTTGACTCCCTCTTCTTTGTGGCAACCCCTGAGATATTGGAACACTGCTATCATGTCTCCCCTAGTCCTTCTTTTCATTAAACTAGACATACCCAGTTCCTGTAACCATTCTTCATATGTTTTAGCCTCTAGTCCCCTAATCATCTTTGTTGCTCTTCTCTGCACTCTTTCTAGAGTCTCCACATCTTTTCTACATCGTGGCAAGCAAAATTAGATGCAGTATTCCATATGTGGCTTTACCAAGGCATTATAAGGTGATGATGATGATTATCATTACAGTAAGGCTGCTGCTGCTGATCGATTGTCTCACTTAGTGATCATTTGAAGTTATGATCATGAAAAATAAAAGCTTTGCAACCAATCTTTGCATTTACTACCAACAGTTGCCTCCCTCATGCTCATCATTGAGGTGCTTTGCACTTGGCATGCATTTACAACTCTGCAGAATCCCAGAGTTAAGTGATTACCACAACTTACTTGAGACAAACAGAGTTAATAAAGAACACAACAGTAAAAGCGTAAGTTGCAGTCATGTGATGGTTTATTTAACAACAAAATGGGAAATAAGATTATAAACCTATCATGGTCATGTAATTTCTAGCCTAGCAACTGAGTTGACAGTCCCAATTCTGGTCACTAAATGGGGACTACTTATAAGCTTGGATTAGTTTCATTTCTCCATTACTCCACAGTTTTGGTTTACTTTATGGATTCAATTTTTTCTTCTTCAAATTGTTAGGCTGCTGAGCAATTCTGAAAAAAGATCTATTTTTTAGCCTCTTCCATATATGATTTCTTCCTCTTTTGCTATTTATCTGGCCTAGAGATATTGCTACTTGTTCTTCCCTTATGCTCATTCATATTTTTTTTTACAAGAACCTCATTTCTACTCTGAATTCTTTGCTAATACCTTGTTCTCTGGCCCATGTCAAGAAGTTTCCCTTTTTTTAGTGGAAAAAGAGAAGGAAGTCTCTTTATTTCAGACGTTCTATACCTCATCTGGTTTCCTTCTTAACTTTCTTGTGTCTTAGATTTTATGAGCCTAGCATAACAAAGTAGATTCATAGATCTGAAATGAGTCTTCTTAGTATAATTTAAATACAGATGAACCCAACTGTGTTTAAGCTACAATTGCAACATATAAGAGTTGTAAAAATAAAACCATGGTCAGTTATAGGACCCTAAACTGTGCTTCCAAAATAACATAAGCCACATTTCAATCAAGGATAATAATTGTTGGGCTTTAATGAAGTCTTTGTTCCCGTAAATACAATTTTATCCACACAAATAAAGGCATAATTTTAATTTTCAAGTGTGCCCAAAACCACAAAATCAGATCAAGAGAGACTTCAGTTGGAAATGAACTTTTTTTGTACAGGTGTTTCCTGAGTAACCAGAAGGTGGCAGGCTTTCATTCCAAAACTATAGCTCCTACTTACCACCACTGGAAACATCAAAATGTTGATATCTCCTTGTTTTTATTTATTCATTCTTTCTTTTTGTTTTTCTATCTATCTAAAAGCTCATTATTTGGTAAATCACAAGTCCCCGAACCTTCCCATAAAGTCTTCTCCCTGTTCCTGGTGTGGTTAGTCTCCTAGCTCACAATAAAGGTAACCCTCATTTACTGATGGCAAATAAGACCTCCTTTGTAACTCCTTTGCTAACTGGTATAGTTGTAAGGTGTGATGTCACATGTCTACTCTGACTTAAAATGGCAATTCTGGCAATCCCACTTGTCATTATTAGCTGTGCCTTTGTAGTGTCCTGTGGTCAAAATAATGTATTCTGTATAAACGAGTTTCATATTTCATTGTAATTGTCTATTCAAAGTCTATGTCTGTAGGCAACTGTATAGGAGATGGCCATGCTGAGCCAGAAGGAGGGTCAAATCACGGGTGAAATGCTACCGGTTCGGACCAGTTCACCTGAACAGGTAGTAAAAAATGCTACTTCCGATGATCAGCTATGATGTGTGATTTATATTAGCTAGAATCATCAGACTTCTTGCTTTCTAGCTAATCTAAATTGTGTGGCATAGCTGATCATTGGAAATACCATGGATTCCCTCCCTCCCCCCTGCTGTTCTACTTACCTTTGCAAGTGCATTTGGTAGCATGCTCCATCCATCTACCTGGACATTGCGCATGTGCAGAAGGTCCTGCACATGTGCGGAGGTGGCACACTCATGCTCACATTTGTGAACCAGTAGTGAAGGTAAGTTGATTTCACCCCTGGGTCAAACACATTATCAGTCATGAGTCCCGGTGTGCGCACAAGAGATCTGAGACCAGCCCACACTTAATTATTTTCTGTTCTTTACTCCTGCTAATTTCTCTTGACCATTAGTAGTTCATATTCTTGTACAGAGTTTAAGTTTGCAATAACTTTTTACACTCCTTTGAACTACCTGATTCTCCTGATTTCCCTGGTGCTTGACATTTTGCAAATGCCATTGGTCTTCAATCTATTGAATAAAGGGGGCCAAGCATTTATTTTGTAATCCTGTAGTATCAGTCTTCTGGCCACAGTATTCAAAATCCATTTATGTTGTCAAAATTGGTGTAATAATTCAAAAGAATTTTATCTTTGACAATTTTAGCTTTGGTTCTATAGTCAAATTTATACATGCCACTACTAACTCCTAAAACTTTTAAGTATAGAGCATTGCAGAAACATATGTATTAAAGAAGCCGTATCCTCATTACACCTCCAACAAAGTGCCATTTTTGTGAGTCCTTTTCTGAACAAATGTAATAGAGTTCAATGAGCTGCAAACATTATTTCTTGTTGTAAAAATCATAATTTGAGGTCTGTTGGCCTTCTTGCCTTCTTACCTTCTACATTCTATACAAGATAAGACAGTTTCCCATTTCTAGGCAATATAGGAACCTCTAGTTCTTTATTCAATTCATTTCTTAACATCCGCATATCAAAATGGTTTAACCATAACAAGTATAAAAATTAATAGTTTTTTTAGTTTTAAAGGACTTAATAAGTTGTTCTAGTATCTGAGGTATGTCAGAAGCTGAAAATGCTGCTAGTGAAAACAATGTTGCTAAGAAAGATAATTACAAATATTGCCTTTGGGTTATAACTTATAGATAATATTTGTATCCCGTGGATGATAATTTCCTCTTCACACAGAGTATGTTAAACATTCTACTTCATCATTTATCAGAAGACTTTACTGCACATTTGTATGTCTGTGTGGCCTGTTGACAACTCATCTCATAAAAGATTTTGATCAGAGGTGGTATTCAGCCGGTTCTCTCTGGTTCGGGTGAACCGGTAGCGGCAGCTGCGGGAGGCTCTGCCCACCCATTCCAACTAAAGTGCAAGTACTGCGCATGCACAGAAGGCGGTATTCATGTTCAGATGCGGTCCGTGTGAGTGAAATGAGCACTCACATGCGCTCACATTTGCAAACTGGTAGGGAAGGTAAGTGAATCCCACCACTGATCTTGATGCATTGATGGACTTTCTGAAGTGAGTTGTTAGAATATCTGCATAGAATATCAAGCCCAGTTTTCTTTAACCAGCTGTTCCGCCATATTACTTCCTGGCTTGGCATTTCGAAGGAGTGTTTCACTTGAAGTGAAAAATTTGCAGAGGCCTATATTGTTGGCTGGATGTTTATTAATGAAGTCCAGATATTTTGAGATCCTATTCTAATTGGCCATAGTGGGACTGAATGACAGCAAAGAGTGAATGCCATGGCATCTATTCACCAAGAGCACCTTTAAGGTGTCCCTCTACTCTTTCTCCCATCTGTAGGAATGCTCACCTAGTTAAGGAAAAATTAAGCAAAAGGAAATCAAACCCTTAGATTGAATAAAACTGGGTAATTGCACATTAGGACTTGATTTAACACCAGATCTTTGTGTTAAACATTTTAATGTTTTTGTTTTATTGTTTTAATATGATTTTATATGTTGTTTTAATTTTGGGGAGCCACCCAGAGTTTAGATAAATAAATAAATGAATAAAGAAAAGAAAAGCACATATAGACAATGGGAAATTCATAGAAAACTACAAAGCTGTTTGTTTTGTAAGGCCTCTGGTGGCCAAGCACAAGCTGCACTGAAGGATAAAATAGTCAGAAAGCAATTAGCCTATTAAGATCAGAGCGGAGCATTTCTTATATTGCAGCTTGTGCCTGTTTCATTTCTCCCTGCTGTAGGAAAAATGACTCCAAAAGGGTTGACGGCATTTATTAATAAATGTGCTATGTTCCACTTGTTTTTAATGGAAATGGAATATTCCAAATATTAAAAAATCAACTGCAATCTAACTTAGTCAATTTTTCTATCACTGTAAAGAGACAGTATTCTGCAGCAGTGGTGGGTTTCCATTTTTGTTTTGGAAGATATTTTTTTAAATGAACACAAACAGACAAAAACAAAAAACACAAAACCATCTTCCATTACAAATTGTAGAAAGTATGACATGCATCCCTTCCACAGTCATCATCTATAATTCATATTGAATCACATATTTTTAAATCAAGTATGCAGTATTTATATACATTCCTTTCATCATATCTTAGCCTTGTTTGACTGTGTTTTTATATACTTTTATATGAAATATTCCAGTTCAAAGCAAACCACATAATGGCATTAACCTCTCCCAACATCTTACAATAAAATTGCATCTTTATAACGTATTCTAAATAAAAAGTTGATTATGTTTAATTTCTAAACTTCCTTTCATAGTCTCCATTTGCAATTTATATAGAATTTCCTCTTAACAAACCAATAGATATATATGCATTATTATCATTAGCAATCATTTATTTAACTATAACCATTATCACTTCATTTTATACATAATACTCTAAATTTAACTAAATTTTATTTAATTTTTATTATCAGCTTTCACTACATCAACCTGTGTCTTTCCAGTAATAGTGCAGACTTATGTCTCTTGCCATTTGTAGCATTAGCATTCTGATTAATTTGTTGGTAAGTCTTATATAGACTTCTCTTTGCAAGTTATTGTTCATTTCATTTCTTATGTAAACTCAAAACCCCCCATTTGCTTCTTCAATCAGCTTATCTTTAGTTATCACTTGTGCTTCTGATAAAGTTTCTCTCCTTACTTCCATCAATTTTTCTCTCTTTTTGCTTCTGTACTTTGAAATCTGGAATAGAGTTCCAGTCCATCTAGCTCCTCTTTCCATATTCCACTCTTTTCATTTCTAGCCAGGCTCAGTTTACTATCAATATCAACAGTTTTCTTGTTTCTTTGATAATTTTTTCCCTCAATTTTTAGAACTCTGTCCTCCATTTTTTCCATTTGATAAACATCCTCAATTTTTCCATCAAATTTTACTGCGCTGCATTCTATATTCTCCAATCTCTTCTCATTTTTTTCTTACTGCTAAGATCTTTTGAATTCCAAACATAATCATTTGCAATGTTAAGGTTTCTTTTTCTTATTGTGCCATTTTCCAATTTATAAACACTGCCACTATAACATTTAAAGCTTTTTGTTAGATTTGAAGCAAGTTCATTTATAATCTTTCAAAGTCAAGGTCTCTCCTCTTTCCACTCCAGCTATTGAAAGAGCTCCCAAAGAGCACCTGTATAAACAACCCATGCTCTTCTTACTCCAAGTGGCAGTGTTACTTCCTTTCCTTCTATTGTTACAGTTCTCTTTGTGTTCCTTTTAATATCTACTTTATAATCAAAACTTACAGAGAAAAGGAAAAAAACCATCCAGTCCAACATTGTAAAAATAAAATAAAAAATTCTTAATCCATTGGTATAGAAAAAGAAATAAAAAGGAGAAGAAGAAAAACTAATCCATTCAGTTTAAAAAAGTAGGAAATATTTACAAAAGCTCCATCCATGAAAAAAGATTTTAAAAAACAAGGATAATACACTGTCTAACATAGCTTAATTTCGCAGCTTACTTTCTTCTGTTTTCAAATTTGATTTAACTTTGATTTTTTTGAGTAGTCTCTTGTCTAATAATAAAATTTCCTCACCAAATGACACATTTTCTCTTTCAGCTTTCCTCTCATTCCGGAGCTGTCCCAACTTCAGCAGCTTCAGTGGCTGCACTTCTATCGCTGGCATGAAGAGGTTCTCTTGGATCAATCAGAGACTTTGTGATGTCCCTGAGATCAGCAGGACGTACTCTTCCCTGTCACCATCTCTGCAGGATGGTTTAGGTCCAAAAGGACCGTCCAGCGATAAAAGTATTGACTGCGATCCTGGAGCTCCAGGTTCGCACGTCGTGTCATCGCTATGCTAATTCCTCCTGATTTCCATTTTTTTTTACTACTGGCTTGCTCATGCACACATGTGTGTTCACAACACTTCTGCACATTCAAAAAGATTCTGCGCATGCGCAGAAGTGTCTGGGTAGGTGGGCAGAGCCTCCCACCGTCACCACTACCGGTTCACCCTATGTGTTCTCCTAATAGGGTTAGATTAGGTGTAATAGATAGAAATGTTGAAGTAATCCATTGGTAACACTGAAGCAAAACTATTTCTAGGTTTATTAATCCATTATACTTTATTTGTCCTCATTCCTTCTGCATATCTAAAAAACAAATTACTATTCCTTTGTCTCAGCCTAATCATAAAAAAATATTACCACTTCTTTTCATTTTTCTTAGTTTGGGTTTTTCATTACAATGTAGAATATTTCACTTTAGGACTCCAGCTAGACAGCCTTATTCATTCCATTCCATTCCACCTTTCACACTGCAAGTGTAAAGGGTATTTTTTCTTCACCCACTCAGCTTTTTTTGTGTGTGCAAAAGTTCCTTCAAGCCATTTGATGCTTCCCTCCATATCTAAGATCTAGGTCTATCTAGTATGTCCATGCATTCAATGCCAAAGGCTTTTATGCTATGACATAAAAGCTTTTCCCTTTTCCCATGAATAAAATGAAGCTAATAGTAACCTGTCTCAGAAATTACTAGTTAAGACAAATATACACACAGCGAGAATATAAAGTAAACTTAAGAATAGATAATAGTTCAATAACAGCAGATCAAATTGCTGCAAATGAATGAAAGTGACAATGGGGATTTATGCTATTCAAGCAGTGAAATTAGGACATATTTGTTCAAACAACAAACCAATGAATATCCTGTACATACAATGCTCTGGCAGAGGAAGCTTATCCTAGGATGATTTGTGAACTGTTTGAAATGTGAGATCTGCCATGTTATTTTATTCTTTGAAGAATAATTATTAGATTTTTGTTTATATGTTTAAGTACAGAGGATCTACAATTCAGTCAGGGCATTATACTATAATGAATACAGCAAACACATAACCTTTTTAGTTTCTGCATTAGTTTTTATTTACCTTGACAGTGATGTCACCTTGAGTATATCACTTTATAATGGATCTGTGGATTATGGGTGTGGTTTTCACAAGGATGTTCTTTGATTGGCATTGATGTAGGAAGCTAAAGAATTTGAAATAATCCTTTTTTTATAGAATGAAATAATGACTCATGGGTGTGAAACCAAACACTGTTTTCTTTGGCTTCTCTGTAGACATCAAATTGATCAAAGAGTTTTTCAAAAGAAAACTTGGTATATTTATGTATTTTATTGGGGGAAAATGTGTGTGAGCGTGTGCATGTGTGCATGCACGTGTGTAAGAGTAAGCAGAAGAAAATCCATATCAGCAAATTACAACTGATATATTATTGCATATATTACACAAATAATTACAAGCGTCCTAGAGACATTTGACCTAGATATTCTGAATATTTGAAGGACCATCTTTTCCCAGTCACAACTTCCCAATCTGCCAGAGGAGGGAGGCAGGGAATGCTATGGGTCTCCACTCTTAAAAAGCTCCATCTAGCAGGATCCAAAAGAAGGGCTTTCTCCATAGTGGCTTCATCCCAGTAAAATATTATCCCCCACGAGGTAAAGTTGCTCCCCACCACTTTGACAGAGTTTTGCAAGGCCCTGAGAACCTGGTTTTGCCAATGGACCTTGTGACCCCAATGTGGGATGGAATCCATCAAATGGCTCATTTGATTGTTGTTGCCAGGAGGGTAGGGGTTATTGCTTTTTATTGGCTTTTTTATTGAGTTTTCATCCCTGTAAGCCATATCTAGAGTAACTGAGAGAAGTTGGGCAGCCTAAATAAATAAATAAGTAAACAAACAAACAAACAAACAAACCAATAAGTTTAAAAAGAAATAAACTTGAGAGAGTAAGAAAGCAAACTTGGTATTAACATATAATAAATATTGTGTGGTGCTGTCTATTAAAATGATCTCTATGCTATGGATTTGCCATACCATGATGAAGTTCCCCTCTCAAAATTTGAATACATCTCCTGTTGCCTGAAGCTTGCTTTTTTCTCCAGTTCTGCTCTCTTTCTTTCTCAGTTCCTCTCGTTGCTTCTTGTCTTCTTTTCAACACTCTTTGTTAATATTTACGGGTGACCAGGCAATGTTAATTGTTTTTAATTTAGTATGTGTTAATTTCCCCTTAGGTATTTTAAATACCTATTTCTCACACACATTTTAAGCAACTTTTCCCATTTCCTGTTGAGTATCTTTTCCCATTAGCTTTTCTGCTTATTATTTCCAATAATACATTTATCAGAGATTTATTAAAATTCATTTTAAAAAGTATAAGATATGAATTTTTGGAAATATAGCTTTGATTATGTGCCATCAAATCAGTACTGACTCTTAGAAACCACACAATTTCTCTAAAACTACTCCTGAATTATATGAACTCCCCCCCCCCAAGTTCCTCTTACTTCTATTTTTTTGACTAAAGTGGGTTATGGATAAGTATTTAGATAAATATCAAGTCAAGCATAACATAATTTATTAAACCAGTCAGTATATAGCCAGTAAGTCAAATCAATATCTTAAGATTCCACCATACATAACATTTAATTAAAAAGGAAGAAGATTTCTACAGATAACATTTGCAAATTCTGCTTTTTGTAATTCAAATTTTCTTCTCTATCTAAACAACAACTCTGTTTATTAAATTCCAACATATTTATTGGCCTTTCTCGTGCACGTATCTCTTCTGCCCCCACAAATTAATCAGATTTGTAATATGCTGTTGAAATAAATATATAATTCTCCAATTTATAGATTTTTTAAAATTCCGATATAATCATTCTACTTTGAAGTGTGTGTGTGTGTGTGTATTTGGTTGTAGAATTAAATACCATATATTGTAAGAAGAAGAGAGGGTCAAACAAAAAGCTTTTAAAGCTACATTTACAGAAAAAGATAGAATTGTGTTTTTAAAATAGTCCTTTTTTTCTTATTTAATTTTAAGATAGAATCCACAATCTAAGGCCCAGATATATAACACATATCTCTATTTAGCACCAAGGATTTAGGAATGCCAATTTTAAATTAAATGGCTGATTAAGCAATTCGATTGGAGCCAGTTTTGCGCTGCAACTTATTTTGATTAATAAATCTGAGTTTGAAGATTCAAACTTTCAATTAGTTTCACTAAATTTCCATTAAAATTAAGAGAACATAAATCATGAGTGATTTATTCCACTACCAATCAACCCATATTTTTACTCAGACAGGACTGGTCCATTTGTAGCTCATGGATTGTCTGCATCTCAGAAGCTGTTTTTGAATAGTGAGTGAATTCTTCCATTTTCCCTATGAAACCAGCCTTAGCTTTAGTGCATGTGTGTGTATGTATGTCTCTCTCTCTCTCTCTCTCTGTGTGTGTGTGTACAATGAATTTAGAGCAGTAAGAATACAGTAATAGTAAACTATTTCTTTGCTGGGAAGAAAAAGTCATGACTTCCCATTTGTCATAATTAATTTTTAAAATTAAGGAGTGCAGATGACTACAAGAGGGAGCAATGTGTGTGGAGTGACATGGATTGGATGTATGGCTAAGCGCTGTGTGTGACAGGGCTAGGCATGTTCAAGGGCACAACTGAAAGGGTTTACCCAATATCTGGGGCAGTTCCCTGGACCCAAACTTCTGCCTATCCCTTGTCACAAGGGAAACATTGAGGAAATCATTCAGTGAGTCAAATGGTTTTAACACAAGTGCCCAATTATGCAATCAATGAAGAAACAAAGAGCTTTCTGTTCTTTTAACTAAAGTAGAAAATAAGAAATTATATTTAATAACATGATTGAAATTATTCCTTTAGAGCAGATTTCTCTTTCTAAATTAATCTTGTTTGCTCTCCTTTACCGTAGAAATTAGGAGAAGAGTGGATTGGAGAGGATAATTTTAAAGTTACAGCAAAGAATTTTCGTTTTCTTCAGGAAGACAATTTTTGAAATCATTTTTTCTTTCGTTATGTTTGTTACAAACATAACATGCCATTTATTTCATGGCTGACTCTACATCTTCTCTTCTCTCTCATCAACTTGGGAGGATACTACTTTTCCATCCACCATTTCTTCAATCACAGTCTTGATCCTCAGAGTTTTATTCTTTTCTGGAAATAAGGATAGGAAAATTAAGTCATTCAACAAACAACAATATGATATCAGTGCTGGTATGAGTAATGTATTACAATTTTTAAAAACTTGTTAATTTCTGTTAATGTCACATCATATTATGACCGGAATATAATGGAAATGAAATCTGAGCCTCTGGAACAACAAGCTTCATGGCTAAATACAGATATAAATATAAACCTATTAAATTTATATAGAGCTTAAAGATCTAACTCGAGAATCAAAGGGAGCAAGGGCAGCAGAGGGTCTTGATGTGATCATTTGCACACAGGGAAAACTCTGCTTACTAGCCTTATTGATTGATTGACTGATTGATTGATTGGATTTATATTGCCGTCCATTCGTCCTTGGCGACTCAAGGTGGCTTACAGAGTATAATATTGATGAGCCAAAAGAGGGATCCTTGATGAAAAGAACATGGATTGTCAGGACTTCCAGGAGTGTAATTGTCCCTAGTCTTGTTCAACCTTATTTAATCCAGTTCAACCCTTAGCTACAAATATTTTCTTCTATCTGCCCTTTTGTTTCCTCCCCAAATGTAGACAACTGGGGGGGGGGGGGGAGAACAATAATCTCTTATGGCGTTCCTGGTCTATGGAGAAAAAAAAGTAGCATGAAGTCTAAAATAATATCATACTAAGAATAAAAATTAAGAAACATCAATCTGTTTATGTGAGCAGCCAAATCATCTAAAACGTGGATGCATCAAAATGACATTAGATTATTCTTCACTTGATAAGAAATGGAGCACACATAGCTTCCAGGAGGCTATAGTATAAATATATGTGGAAAGAATGTTCTATAGCAGTGTTTCTCAACCTCAGTAACTTTAAAATATGTGTATGTCAGCTCCCAGAATTCCCCAGTTGGGATGCTGCCTGGGAAACTTGGGGGGGGGAGGGGAAGTCCATACATTTTCAAGTTGCTAAGGTTGATAAACTCTATTCTAGAAGTAGGATACTCAGGCTGATATTTATCTAATTTATATAGCTTCCCATCTTGAAAACAAGTGTATATTAAAACTAATCTTGGTATATTTCTGCGGAAATCGGTGTCTGCAGTAAAATAGCTTTTCCAGTGAAATAGTACCTCCAATGGAAAAAAAACCCACTAATGTGGTGAACCTTTCAATGGGGATTGAGAATATACTCTTACCTTGTTCAGCTTCTTTGCTTGTCTCTAAATCTGAAGCAGTCATTCTGTTTAAAAAAACAATGTATATTGTCAGTGTCCTGGTTTTGTTTTAAGGTAGCCTTTACAAACCTGGTGCTGTTCACAGCTCCCAGAATGTGTGAGCATTAAAGCATAGCTCAAGTGGGCATCAATTCAGCAAGGGCCATTTAAAGGAATTACATGTCATAGTGTTTGCTAAGTCCTAGTTCTTCATTTCCATTTGCCCAGGACAGTTTCTCAATCTTGGCAACTTGAAGATTTTACCCATTTTGTTTATAGAATCTTTTCCCTAGGTAATGGCTTTCTGCTAACTTTCCCAACTAAATTTATCTGGTCTGAATTATTTACCTCCAATTCTCCCCTTCCAGGAGTTTGCGATAAGTAGCAATCTCTTCTTCTAGCTTGACTTTAATGTCCAAGAGGGTGCTGTATTCCATAGCCTGTTGTTCCATGTCATGCCGCAGCTGCTTTAGTCGGGCCTTAACGTTTTCAATGGCCATTTGAATTTCAGCAAATTTATTTCTGTAAAGAGCTTCAGTTTCTGCCAATGCATTCTCTCGTTCATTTTTCTAGAGGAATATAACAGATGTATAGTTGGACAGGTACTGACACTAGCTAAAATTTGGCCTCCAGAGTCCAGACTGAAGGGTGTTGATTTCATTAGAATTTGCTTCTCCCTACCTGCTCAGCAACAGTTCATGGTCATGATAAATTTAGCAGTGCTATTAGTTTTGATAAAAGTTGTAAAAGTGTGGGACTCTACTTCTTTGATAAATACAAGAAGCATTACCCCAGTCTCATGGGCTTTTAAAAATCTTACTAAAATAGTATATAGCTAAACCTGGTTGAATTTATTTATTTGTTTATTTATTTATTTATATTTCATACTTCTTTATTGCCTATCTTCCAATCATTATCACATATTATTTAGTATACAATCCTGGTTTCTCTGAAACCATTACTGAATAATAACAGTTTCAACTTGCTATTTTACCAACTAATTTCAAATGGAGTCAACATTGGTAAATATACCATTGTAGGAAACTTTAGCAATTAGTGGTTGGCCCTACTTTATTACATAATGAATCAAATACATTTTTAATACAAAGAGCACATAATTTATGGACTTTCCAATGATTTTATGCTTTCCAAAAATTGCTACTGTGTAAATATAAAAATTATAATTAAATAGCTGCTGAGAATTTTAAGATTACACATTGCATTAAATACAGAAGTAATCACCAACAAATCAGCAACCTTATGTACTTTAATAATCCGACTTTACCCAGTTCAGTTGAGATCGTAGTTCAATATCCAGACTTTGGAGTACACTCTTCCGGTCTGTAATCTCACTTCTGTGTGTTTCAAGTTCCTGGGTAGTTGTGGTGACTTCCACATTCAATTGGTCAATCTGAAATGCAATTAAAAAAAAATACAGTGAATACAAGGCAAATAATACTGTAATACAGGGAACAGGTTTAAGAGGATTAATTAGAGATCTAAAATATTTCACTTGATATAGAAAGATGGTTCTGATACATCCTAAGTGTATCTTGTTAATATCTGCATAGTTAAGGGGATACAAAAGTAATAAATACTGTAGTTGCTAACTACTACTTGAGGAGCCACGGTGGTACAGTAGTTAGAATTCAGTACTGTAGGCTACTTCTGCTGGCTGCCAGCTGCCTGTAATTTGGCAAATCAAATCCCACTAGCTCAAGGTTGACTCAGCCTTCCATCCTTCCAAGGTGGGTAAAATGAGGACCCAGATTGTTGTGGGCAATAGGCTGACTCTGTAAACCTCTTAGAGATGGCTGTAAAAGCACTGTGAAGTGGTATATAAGTGCTATTGCTATTATAAGGACTGAAAAGGGCTATTTTAGAATTAGATCAGGTTGGTTTATATCAGAATTCACAAAACTCAGTATTTCAAATGCCTTTACTTCCGACGTCCTCATTCTAATCTCATTCTAAAACAAATCTATGGATACAAACAAATACTGTGACCACAGGGATACTTCTCCTCTTCCACCCATTCCTTATATCTGAAGAAAAAGTATGTATAAATTAAAAAAAGTGTTTGAATTTCAAATGTGTTGGTCCAAATAAAGAAGCTGGCCTGCATTTTTCTATGTGGGGCCAATGTGCTTAATAAAGCTTCAGGGAAATTTAGCTTGAATTTCCAGTTTGTGAACAATTAATGGCTTGTTTTACAGATGAGTTCCAGGAAGAAACACAAACAAAACCTTAATAAAGTTTCTGTAGTTTTCAAAGTATTAAATATAATAACAAGCATCACCAGTTTATCAAACCGATCCTTAGCTTCTTGGCGGTTCTTTTCAGCCATGACTTCATATTGTTGACGCATTTTTTCCATCACTTGGCCCAGATCAATGCTTGGAGCAGCATCTAGCTCCACAGAAACATGCCCCCTCAGCCGTCCACGTAATTCTGCTATTTCCTATAATTGTTAACAAAAAGTATTAATTAAATCTATGATCAATTCAGAAAAATGTATTCTTATCAGTTCCTATATTCCATTAAAGTATTTTGAGCTATAAATTTGGCCTGTTAGCCAAGTAGCTAACCAGCGATCACATAGAATTATCATGGGATTGAAACAGATCTTAGATTCTTTCTAATTCTCAATAGCCAATTTAGAAGAAAATATGAAGAATTAGAGGCAATGTAATTGAAATACAGATCTAAAGCAAATTTCAGAACCTGTTAATTTCCAGGAACTTTAACGTCTCCAACATGGGTCATTGCTCATGCTAGCTGGAAAAGATGAAAGTTGAAATCATCTCAGAAACACACGGAAGTTGACCCCTGTTATAAAGTATCCTAGTTTATAGGCAGTCCTTTCAATCCTGTATATGCTTTATTGAAGAGATATCCAGTCCAGAATAAAGAACCATGAAAAGAATCATGAAGCAAGGCTTTGAAATCTAGAGTTAGTCCATGAGTCCATGAACATCTAGCTGAGGAAAGTCAAAGGTCACTTACTGTAGACTATATGGCCTAGTGAATCTCACTAGTCAGTAACCCATTATTGGGAGTCAATATAAGTTCTGATGGCTAAGATACTGTTGTTTTTTCCAATATATTTTTTCTGTCTGTGGCCTATAAAAAGCTATCAGTTCTATAACCCTTCTTCCTTCACTAGGTCATATAGTCTAATTGACTTCTTCATTCGCTGGACTTTATAGCTTAATATATTAAACTAATGCGGGCTGCAAAAGTGCAGACAATAAGTAGCTCATAGAAAAGAATCAGAGTATTAATATCGTTCTGTTGTCATCTTGATTTAGTTGTCTGAATTTCTGCAGTCAAATCTGAAAGTCCTCATGCATGGATCAATGTTCTATGGTGATTCTGACTAACATAGTTCTCTGTCTCTCTCTCTCTCTCTCTCTGTGTTTTCCTGGCTTAGTTCTACCATGTGTGTTAAAATGAAGGCATCTTTAGCTTCTATAGATCAACAACTAGAATAACAAACCTTAGGAGGAACAATCAAACTCCTTGATTCAATTGGTGATGTGTCCTTACCTCCTCATGTGTTTTCTTGAGGTAAGCCAAATCTTCTTTCAGATTCTCAATATTGTGCTCCAGATCAGTCTTAACTAGTGTGAGCTCATCAAATAGTCCCTGTAACCCTGAGATGTCATTTTCCACACACATTCGCAGGTTCAACTCAGTTTCATATCTATTAATTTTTTTAGAAAAAATGTATAACAAGTCAGGATTGTTGCAAAATAATCAATTTCTCCACCAGTTCCATCTTATTTTTACATATGGCTAGCTTCTTAATAATAATTTTGGTTTCAAATTCTGCTTTCTGATGTCTTGTAATCATTTTGTAAGTATTAAAGCATCACAAAATACATTGTTGGAATTGTTACTAAGTTTTGGTCATGGGCTTCAGCAGCAACAGCAGTCAATAGCATTAAAATGGAGGGTGTGACTGGGTGGTTAAATCCCTGTTTCTTTTAACAGCAATCACGTACTCACAACTGTCATATTGATGTTGTTGATCAACCTTCTCTACATTCTATTTATGGTGTAATTAATCTGTTGCAAGATAGCTTTATCTCGATGTGAATTCAGTTTTGGATGCTTTGTAGGTTCTTTCCCAAAGCTATTTTGAGCAGGATACAAAAAAGCAAAGCCCAACCCAACCACCCTTAAGTATATATATTAATCTTGGACTACTCCCTTGAAAATATCTAGATGTAGTCTGCTGAAAGGCAGCATTGGTCAAACCTGTTGTAATGTGTTTTCTTTAGATTATTCTTTAAGCACAGCGACTCTTCAGTTCATTTCAGATACATTTTTTAAAATATTTGTTGTCTTATATCTTATAAATATTACCAGCTATCAAGACATCATATATTGACTATATTGCTACTGTGACTGAAAAGTGGTTTCAACAGATGGCTTGACCTGTAAGTGTAGCCATCTGTCAAAACCCTTCTCTACCCATGCCCCACTTAGTTACTGGGGTTTGTGAAAAATTGGGAAAGCCTGACTCTTTCAAACCTGCTATTTTCTGGACTCTATGGACCAGTTGAGCTCAGGCTGTTAGTAGAAGCTTGCTGGCCTGCTGAGGATCTGGGGGAAGAGCTGCCTCATAAAGTAGGAGAAGTAGTTCTCTCTAAAATGTTGATTGCTTTCTATAGGGTTTTTATTTTATTTTAGAATACATACTTTACTCTGAAATCATCAGCAGCCAACTTGGAATTGTCAATTTGCAATATGATCCTGGTGTTATCTACTCGGGCTTTGGTAATCTGAGAAACAATAAAATATAACAAAAAAGCAACACATTATTCTTTTGGTTTGAGTCCTTAGAATAATTAACTAGAAGTTAAATACTATTAAAAAAAACCACTTTTTCAACTGGATTTCAAGTTTTATCTAAAAGGCAGCAGCATCCTTTACAGTTTGAGTATTTGGACATTCACATGTGGAAGTGTCCTTAAATATCATTCTCTTGCAGATGAACTATTATTTGACTGCTAATTCCATATACATTGGTGATGGAACATATTTTCCACTGCACTTGCTTAAGAGACACAAAGCTAGCACTATTTGTTGCTGGTGGTAAATGCTAAATAGTACTTGAATGTAGGACAGGCCCTGAGAACAGGCCCAGAATCTGAAATAAAAGCTTGTCCAGCATTTGTGTGATGTCATCTATCTCATTCTCATCTTTCAGTGGTCCTAAAGCCCAATATAATATCATATGTATGTATGTATGTATGTATGTATGTAAAATAAAAGTCATCATTGAAACAGAACTTTTGGTAGTACCCAGATATTTTACAGTCAATGAAAAATATTTCTTAAATTGTGTTGCAATTGGGATTCCCTTCTATATACAATCAATTCCATTGTGATTAAAAGTCTAATGTGTACATTGTACCTTTGCTGTAACCCAGGAATTGGGGAATTTCTAATAGTATGTAGCACTTGTTATTCCCTCCCTACCTAGCCATCCTTATGTTAGTAAAATGTCATGAACCATTTCTGGGAATAAAACATCCATCCATCAGTTGCAAGCATAAGTATTTGTGTACTGTTAACTCTCAAAGCAGTTTGTTATCCATATTATAAAATATTTATATAAAGGAGAAGAATCTAACAAAAAGATAAAAAGTCTAAGGATGGGATTTCCTAGCTTAGACATCAACTTTACCTGTCCTGTTTTCTGGCAATAAATCTTTCCTATAGCTTTTTAAAAACTGTTTACTGAACCAATATGTCTATTTTACTAATTCTTTCTCATTTCAAACATCTCTTGATCTAGATGACTACACTGCAGATTTAAAACAAAATTTGACTTTCCACATCTTCACAGGAAATCCTTTCTGAAAGAAGTGCAGGAGTCCCAGTGGTGGGATTCAGCCAGTTCGCACCTATTCGGGAGAAACTATTGGTAATTTTCTAAGCAGTTCAGAGAACTGGTTGTTGGAAGAAATCTCCTTTTGTTTTTTTGCACTTTACAGGGCTAATCCTATAAGGAAGGCAGGAAGGAAACATTCTGGTATTGTTTCTAGCCTAATCTTTATTGCCCTGCTTACAGAAACTGCCTCTCTGGTGAACCCTTATTATACTGTAACAGCTAAAGTGAAGCCCGCATCAACGTGAGTGATGTTGAGTTGGCCATGCCCACCCAGTAACATGTCCACCAAGCCCCACCTACTCTGCTGATCATTAGGGCAGAGAATCGGTTGTTAAATTATTTGAATCCCACCACTGAGGAGTGCATATGCTAAAGATTGAATCAGATTTTTATTTCAGTTAGTTTTTCCAAAAACTAGATGTAATAGATCACTACATACAGTGGTACAGTGGTACAGTGATACACTACAGACACCCTGGCCAACAGATCTCAGTGGAAGATCATACAATAAAGGAAATTGAATGGTGTATTAAATGTGGTTGTCAGACATTCAGCAAGCTAAGTGTAATTTTCAAAAACAATCTTCTCCTATGCCTGAAGAGAAAAGCTTTCTATTAGTGTGCTGCCTGATGGGCATTAACATCACAATTGATACAAAATTTATAAGTGGCGCAAAGAGCCAAGGAAAGATGCATGGCATTATAAGGTAAAATAGAAAAACCTGCACATGGATTAGAGAATAAAAAAAAGTACAATATCATCAAGAGAGTAAAGGAATTGAAATGGAAATGGGCTGGTCACATAGCAAGAAGAATCAATGGCGGGTGGACCAAGGCAGTCATAGAATGGATCTTCCTTAATAAGAAGCATCCATGAAAGAGACCTAAAACAAGTTGGATCAATGATATCAGCAAGTACTGCAGGAACATTTGGCAAAATAAAGCTCAGGACCATATTGCTTGGAAACATGTGGAAGAGGCCTTCATCCTGCAGTGTATAGACAATGGCTAAAATGATTATGATGATTTGAATATAATATTATGAAAGAGATTAGAATAGCTGCAGAATGGTTACAAGAGAGGTGTGATGAATTAATTAAAAACCTCACACATAAGGCATTTCTGATCAACCTTTGGACTTTCAAAACAATTGTCATGTGGAAAAAAAAGAGAGGAACAAGTGTCATAGGAGTACTATAATAATAAAACAATTATGGTAGGCAATAACATATATAGTATTTGCTCTGAAATTAAATATGCAGGATTAGACAAGGAACTGTATGAGTTTTTGGAATTATGCATAGGTTTCCAACATTTATCACTATGGATGTTGATTTAGGTATATGGCCACATATATTTAGAAATATTGAAGTAGTGAAATAAAAATCGCTTCCTCACAGTATTTAAAGTAGTGGTATAATAATGCCATCCTTGATCAAGGAAGTTTTTCTTGTTCTGTAACATAGTGAGTATTGGCAAACACTTCCCAAAAATGTCATTTAACAGGAATTATGAAATGTGGCTTTTCCATGGCAGCCCCTGCCTTGTCAAACATCTTGCTCCCTAAAGTTTAGCAGACCTCCAATCTTTTAGCCCGTATTTTGCAGAGGGGGATAGCCTTTGCTCATCTCCCAAAGCTGCCGCCATTGCAGCTGCGATGGGCATAGGGGAAGCCTGGCAAGCTGGGTGCCCAAAAACCCCTGTACACAGGGCACTCAGCTGTCTCCAGCTGTGCCCGAGCTGGAGGAGGCAGTGGTTGCCAAGCCTCAGGGCATGCGAAATGGCTACATGTCAAGGTTGATAGATAGCAACCAAGAATAGAATGGTTGCCAACCTGGTGAATACTCTCACCCCCCTCTCAATAGTTCACCATCTTGGAAAGACTGTGAGATGGCCATAACGCCAGATATTTGGAAAATGAAAAGTGTGATACTTGCCAGACCTAGGTTAGCCCCCTAGGGCGGATGTCGGCAACCTGCAGCTGGACTTGGCAGTGGTATAGGGAAAATTGTAAAAGGGATGTGTGGCCCAACAAAAGGGAATAAAAAGCAGACAAAATATGTTTTGGAGGTTGTCAGTGGCATAAGGAAAATTGAAGTGAAAGCACAATGACTATATATGTATACTTTTTTGTTCTTTTTTTCAGATGAAACTACAATCAGGAAAATACTTGAATGCACAGAAATGGATAAAATGACAATAGAACTAAAGAGAAAGAGAAGACTTCTATAAAGTATGGAATAAAATGTACAAGTGGCTAGAAAACAGAAGCCAAGACAGAAAATAGAAAATAGAGAATACAAATATATGGAGATATAAATAATGAATACTATTGTAAGTGTTAATACTATGTTTGA